TGAGATATTTTGTCCATTGATAATTTTAAAGGATTTTGTCATTTCCACCTCATGACCCATATCAAGGAGATGCCTGGTAATGGCACTATTGTAAGCGTTTGTTTCCTCGAGATGTATGCTTTTCGTTGCATGTTCAGAAAATCAGAGGTGTGATCTTCCTTCTGTTCTCTCAGTGTAACTGCTCCCGCAGATACACGCAAATTTGTATACACAGTTGGAGTTAACATGAGAAGGGTATCTGTAGACTTTTGACTGCACCAAAGAGCATGTTGTCCAATAGACGGCAGCCAACATTATTGCAGGATAGGCTCTGGTCAGTGACATCCTCAGTCTTCTGCTGACTATTGCTGCAATATTTTCACCTTTAAAGGAGAGTTGAATGAAGACAGGCTTTTTTCCCACTGTGATTCATTTGATGTTTTAGCCTTCACATCTTCCATATTTGTTAATGAATCTCTAGGGTTAACCGTTGTTTTAAACATCTTTTCCAGAATCATAAATTCTTCCTCTAATTTCTCTTTAGAGCAAATTATCCTAGCTCTATAGTACAGAGTCTAGACTAGTGCTCGTTTAAAGCTATTTGGATAAAATCTATTAAAATGTAGGTATTGCCTATTCCATGTAGGCTTTCTGTAAGTTGACCTCTGGAGACTACCATCATCTAGGCGTTGGATGGCAGATTTGGTGACGGAATGTTTATTTGGAACTTGGTATCCCGATATAGCGAAATCCTGTACTCCGTTTTGTGCTGCTTCTATCCTTCGTATTGTGTTTCTTTGTCTTCGTTTTCATGTCTTCCGTGTTTCTCCGCAACGCTGAATCATCTGCTTTCTTTGACGTCAAATCTATCACTCCGCTGTTCTATATTTTTATGCCAATGAACGTCTCTTAATATACTACTGAAACATCTTATCAGTAGTACATGCTACAATAGTACCAAATAAACTAAAAATTGTCATCTGAATAATTTGGTTTCCAAAGGAAATTTAATCCAGCCAGTTCAAACTCTTATCTTCTTTCTTTCTTTTATTATTTGATTTGGTGAAAGGTATTAGTAGTGAATTGGCAGGTCACAGTGGTGTTTTATAACAGAATTTTTCATTTAGTAAAGTACAAAAACGAAACATACATTGAAATTTCAACCTGCAAACATTATTAGAATTTGTTTCTTTTGTCATCGTTGTATCGTATACAATGAATGGATGAATGAATGGTCCTAATTTTTCTCTTTACAAATCATCTATCGCTCCTTTATTCAAGATTCATGCAGAAGACATCACTCACAGTACACTACTCACAAATCTTTGTCAGTAGCATACACCACAGTAGAATATTTGCATTGATAAGTCTAATTTACAAATTGAATTTTAAAAAACAATGTTAATCGTAATGATGTGCTTTGTTTACCATAAAGAAAATTTGCTTCCTGAAGGTGCATCACAATATGTGATGCTATCCAGTACTCCAAGGTTTTCCAATGGTTCTCTAATCGATGTCAGCTCATGATGAAACCTTCCAACCAATCAAACACAATCCCTATAAAACCTATACTTGAAAAAAATATTCACGTTTTATTTCTGTCTTCCCTCTTACACTGTCAAAGTTGTTTTATAAGTGGTGACTGACCTGTCTTATATTGCGACCAGCGAATTTATTTCTCGATGAAAGAGTGTTAACTAAGGCAAGTTAATCAGCATACTAGGGAAACTATTATTGTTATTTGACTCCTCTGTTTAGCTCCATTTCCCTAGGTTTATTGACCTAAATTTATCTCACTTATCAAGTGCAATATAGGTCATTTATATATAATATTGACCAAGTTAGTCTAATCACAATTTTAAAAAATTACTGAGTGTCTAAGAGGCCATTTAATTACGCTAATTCGAGATTGTTTTCCCCGTCGGCCTCAACTAGAACTAGCCCTACATTTCCACTTAGGCTACACGATTTGCTGCCTCCTTAGCCTGACCCACCTAAATATGGTGGCCAGGCTGTTGTTAACACTTCCGAGGCTAGTGAAGATAGAATATAATACATACTGTTGTTCAATGATGCTCCTGAATCAGCGAAGATAAACAAACTGATCTTTGAAGGAGACACGACTGACACTCAGTTGAATTCAAGGATTTCTTTGAGCAAGCTACGGTTCTTTTATTTCCTCTTTAGTTTCAATAGATAGAAAAATAAGAAACTCACGATACATGCTCTGACTGTCCCACAAGTTGATGAGATTTTTCATCAGTGTTCACCTTCCACTGTTCACATACGACGCTAATTAATACTATCGATCTGAGATATGGCTTATTAGTTTTGCAGACAATCACTTTCATGCTATTCTACTTATATTTTTGATTTGATGCAAAATTTGCAATCCAGTTAAATATACAGTAGCCAATAACTTTCAGTGACTTAAATTCATTTCACCTGTAAAACGTATTATTGTTTTAATAAATAGTGATAATTTTGGGCGATATCAGTGTTGTATAATATTTCGGTTGACAGAGTGAATTATCTATATAGAAACACTGACTGAGGTTGAAATATAACTTAGTTTGCCGTAGAGTAAGTGAATGCCAGCCGCCATCAAATGGTTCGACCGATACTTCAGTTGCTGATCCCAGATAACGAACTGTTAATTAGATCCCGACTTCCCTTTAGTCAACCAAGTAGGCTGACGGTCTTTAGTCCCAGTGATAAATATGCACTTAGGAAATAAGAGCAAACAGTTCAGTGAAGAGAATTTTTGGCGACTTCATTCAGTTAGAGTCACAGTCGTAAATATATGTATACAATTATTGTGTGTGTGTGTGTACATTCAATCTGTTGAATATTGTAGAAAATGAAAAGAAATTAGTTTGAAATATTGTTTACATTATCAGAATATTTCAAAACAGTGAAGACTTATCAAACTGTAACTCCCAGGTTTTCCAATGGTTCTCTAACCAATGTCAGCTCATGATGAAATCCTGTAACCAAACTGTAACTGATGGGGTGAAGCCTAAAGGTTGCATAACACGAAAAAACGTTAAGGAAAAATCGCTTGCACAGAAACAAGCATAAAAATATACTATGTAAGGAGTGAACAAACAGTTATTCAAGAAAACGATGCTAATAATGTCATAGTAAACTGCAAAACAAAGTATTAATAACCAAATAATGATAAAAATTGAGCTTGGAACTATGCCCAGGGTAGAAAGAAGGGGTTTATATCCAATTACATCAACTGTTAGGCGAAATCCTCTGAAGCTTTTTACAATACGGGTAGTTTATTATTTTTTATTATTCCTTTACTTTCCCAGTGGAACATAGGACTTCAAGCTAGAGGCGGTGTTTAATATTACGGGGTGAAGTTGCTAGCCTAATGCCCAACCTTTCCTCTTTACCAGTCTTATTACTGGCTTAGCGAGGTAAAGCAGTGCGTCTGCCGGGAATCGAACCCCGGACCACATGAGGCGTGGTTGGCAAGCATTCTACCGCCGTACCACCAACGCACTACAATACGGGTAGTAAGTGAAGGAAATATTATACCTTGTCTAACCGACTAATCAATTGTAAATGAGAGTGATGAATGAAAATAGTTTTAGAGTTTGTCGTCACAATCAAGAAATGAATCACTATGATATTACAAACCTACAATTTAAACCTCCCATCACTTATCAGAGTTTAAAAGGGTCTATTTTCCTTGTGACATTTTCAGAAGAGAAGAATTTCAACAGGATAAATTAGCCGGTCTGCGATCAATACATATCTACAATCTTGAAGGCATTCCTCCCAATAAAAGTTAATCACTGCTAACACTAAATAGATGAGATAGATTTAGCTGAATCATCAGTTCACTTACTGTTAATATTAGACATAAAACGATGTGTATCGGATTGTTATGTCACTTGACCTAGTGGCTACATTAAGCCTGTTATTGACAAATTTCATCCAGTATTAGTAATTTACTAATGAGGGGCTAATTTGTGTACAAGACGATTCGTTAGATAATTCAGTGCTTTCGTTCCCAACAAAACGAGAAGGAAAGCTTAACACCGTATTACGTTAGTGATTATAAAGGAGAAAACATTGCAGCGATGATCAACAGAAGGGTAAGTACATCACTAGCCATAGCCTATCCTGCAGCTAAGCTCGTTCCCGTCTTTCGAACAACTTGCTCTCTGGTGCAATCAAAAATCGATAGATATCCTTCTCATGTTAACTCCAACTGTATATACAAATTTACATGTATCTTCGGGAGCAGTTACATTGGAAGAACAGAAAGAAGAGCATATCTACGATTTTCTGAACATGTACCAAAAAGCTTACGTCTAAAGGGAACAAATGCTTTAAACAGTGCCATCGCCAGGCATCTCTTCCACACGAGTCATGAGGTGGACGTCGAAAAGTCGTTCAAAATTATCAATAAGCAAAAGAGCTCAATTCTCCTTAAGTTTGCTGAAGCCATTTCCATCAAGCGCCTGAAACCTGACTTATGCGTTCAGAAAGAAGCAGTTATCAGTCTTTCTTTGCCCTGGTAACTGGATATTTTTCATCCGAATGCGAGATGCTGAAAAGTTTTCATTGTGTATGATTATTATTGTTCGGAATTGTGTTTAATGTTGCATATATATATATATATATATATATATGTAAGCAGCTGGCGAGAAGGCGACGAAATAAAAGATGGTACCATTTTATTCTGCTAAAACTGTAGTTGTTGCTTTGTTCAAAAGATAATATAGTTTATTGTCATATTGCTTTGAACAAAGTCCAAAATTTTCAGCATTTCTCACTGTCACTACTTCACCATCATACTTCGATTATGATTTAAACAAATCAGATTTGTTTGATGACATGTAATTTCATCTTGACTATGCAAAGGTTACCTACAAGATGAACCAATAAAAAAACACCTGAAAGTAATATTAGAAAATTCCTACCTGACAGTTCATTTTCCTCAATTTTTTTGTTTTCTGATAGTGCTAGTGCTTGTTTTTAAGTTTTTATATGTATTAGTCATGTATGGCATACTTATAGAAATAGCTAAACTCTACATAATAGAACAATATGGTGAAAATACATGGATATGGTTATGTAAAAAGATTAACGGTGGGAAATCAGATATACGTAGTCACAAATTATATCCTAATAACATGTTAACATCATTATTAATACTATTAGGTGATTCAGTATACACAGATAAAGATCTACTACTTTATGAAGTTGGACGTTATACTATACAATTTCTAGTGAAAAATGGTTATGGTAAACTTCTCACTATACTTGGTAAAACATTTAAAGATTTTCTATCAAATATGAATGATCATCATGAATACTTACGTTATAGTTATCATCATATTAAAACGCCAATATTTGTAGTGCTATCCAGTACACCAAAATGCATAGAATTAGAATATTGTACAAAACGACCAGGTTATAATCATTATGCTAAAGGTTTATTAGTTGAAGTTGCAAAACACTTTTATCAGTTACATTTAATTGTTAAAATTTCACCACAATTATCAGAAGGATCAATTTATCGGTCGATATTCACACTGGAGTTATGCGTTGGTGAAAGTTTTGAAGAGAATACGATATGCACAACAAAGACTGGATTGGCAATAATGATGAATACATTTTCAAATGTGTCAAATACTGTATTTTTTGGATTGATACCATTTCATTTAGTAATTGATAAAAATTTAATTCTACGTAGTGTCGGTGAAAGATTGCTGAAATTTCAACCGAATTTAAATCATACTAAATTTCAAGACAATTTTATGATATTATTGCCACTTGTGAAACCAAATTTTCAGCGTGTAAGTTACTGAATCTGAAAGTTTCTTTTCAAAATGCATTATTAAATATTGAACTTTGACGAATGAAGCTCAATAATCAGTTATTATTTATTTCAATATAGAAAAAAGTCCCCATTTAGATATTTGGAAAACAGAAAGATTGAGCAAAGAAATATTTACTTTTCAATTAGATCCTCATCTCTGGCTCTACTCTAACATATATAGCACTTTTATTACAATACACAACAGTTTACCAAACAAGTGGCGATATGTTTGTTAACAATAATTAAACAGTGTCAAAATGTCAATGGGTTGATAATTAACGAAGAAAATCAATATAAATTTAAAAGGTAGAAATGGTTAGAATGAATTCATTTTACAAGGATAACACGTAATTAAAGAGGAAGTGGTCAAAATAAATAAAAATAAAATAATTTGGACGATCATAATTTTTATAGTTTTTAAAGGTTTAGGGGGAGGGAGCGACGTAGTCCTGTTTATGCATTCTTGTAACGATGGCCACGATAAGGAAAGGTGGCTGTACAAATTTCTTCTCAACACACAGGTTTGGCTTCTTCAGGTGGATTCCTATTGCTTCAGCTGTCTGCTGAAGACGAATTCGTAGAGCAAAATTAAGATTAGTCGGAATGTGATAAATAGTTTTAAATGCAGTATTAACATCAACTTTGTGCTCAGTATCAACAAGGTGTGCTATGTGTATCTACCAGTTTGACTGCAGCTGCAGAGCCAGCTACGTTGGGCGTACAATTAGGCAGGTTCATTGTCGTATTTCCGAACATCATCCAGCATGGTTAAGCAAGGGACAAACAAGATCTATTCGTAGTTCTATTTTAGCACACCTTGTTGATACTGAGCACAAAGTTGATGTTAATACTGTATTTAAAACTATTTATCACATTCCGACTAATCTTAATTTTGCTCTACGAATTCGTCTTCAGCAGACAGCTGAAGCAATAGGAATCCACCTGAAGAAGCCAAACCTGTGTGTTGAGAAGAAATTTGTACAGCCACCTTTCCTTATCGTGGCCATCGTTACAAGAATGCATAAACAGGACTCCGTCGCTCCCTCCCACTAAACCTTTAAAAACTATAAAAATTATGATCGTCCAAATTATTTTATTTTTATTTATTTTGACCACTTCCTCTTTAATTACGTGTTATCCTTGTAAAATGAATTCATTCTAACCATTTCTACCTTTTAAATTTATATTGATTTTCTTCGTTAATTATCAACCCATTGACATTTTGACACTGTTTAATTATTGTTAACAAACATATCGCCACTTGTTTGGTAAACTGTTGTGTATTGTAATAAAAGTGCTATATATGTTAGAGTAGAGCCAGAGATGAGGATCTAATTGAAAAGTAAATATTTCTTCGCTTAATCTTTCTCTTATTTATTTGTTATTGTTCATTATAAAATGTAGTAAAAGCAGCCAAATAAAATTGAAGGATGATATGTTAACTGACAGAATTAAATCACAGCTTGCGTACGAAATTGTCTTCAAAAAACTTTTTGTTTCTTTTTTGTCATGAAATACACCTTCTTGCTATACAGCAAGTTATGATACAATCATCTAATTTTTTTCCAAGTGTTACTTTCCAGTGATTTGATTGGTTTCAGGTCAGATCACGAAGTGAAGGCCGAGTGATCAGCGGGCTCACCCTGTAACTTAAAATCCATAAGTTCAATCTCCAGTGGGGTAATGAGTTTTGCTGAAGAATCTCAAACTAGGACGAAATAGCTATCCAGTACTCCCTAGTTCTCTTACTGATATCAGATCAGAACCTTACTTGAAAACAAACTTTCTTGTCTAAGTGACAGCATTAATGCAAAAGTAAGTGTGGAATTAGATGGTTGGAGGCAATCGGCAGGAACCTCCAACCATCTAATACCAACAATTCACAGTGCACCGTAATGGCGAGCCACCTAGCATGGTGGCCACATTGCAAGCTTGACTGATAGAATTCAGTCTGCAGCGAAGATAGGACTAGACACATTACACTAGTTACTGACTAGTGTGCAATCAAAAAAAGTGTGGAATTCCATATATGAACTTAATGAAAAATTTGTGTACAGTTCAATAATTTAAGATGTAATTATCAAATGCAAATGATTTCAGATAGTTCAGCGGTACAATCAACCGATGTCAGCTCATGATGAAATTCTGTAACCAATCAATCAAATCCCTACAAACCAATACTTGGAAAACAGAATAAGTATTTTCACACTTAAACCACAACATCTATGGGAGCAAAAATGATGTATTTTAATGACCTGATTACTCATTACAGACAAAGGTACAAATCGTTATTAAGACGAAGAATCATACTGTAAATTCTATCCAGACAAAGCGAAACATTTCAGCATAATACTAATAAGATGTGATTAGGAATCAAGGTAGCAGAGAACTCAGTTAAGGTATGCCAGGAATGGTATGAGTGGGGTGGGGTGGTTGGGGGGGGGATGAAACAATGTTAAAACTGTGATGACTAAACTAAGAAATAAGATTACTATGCAATAAATATAACGGAAAGTGAAAAGCGGTAGAAACATGAGCAGTTTTCAAGGATAGTAAGAAGATGGGAAAAAATAATAAAATGGTAAATAAAGAAACTTTTTTCAAGAATTAGTTTGTAGGGATTGCATTTGTTTCAAGCTAGACGACGGATTGATATCAGCTAGAGAACCATTGAAAACCAGGGAGTACTGAACTGCTGTTTCATCCTAGTTTGGGATTCATCGGCAGTACGCACTCACTGGGTTCCGAACCCAGGACCTTCCAGTATAAGTTAGAATTCATTGGCCATTGAATCGGGTCCCAGTGACTGAATGGTATACGAGCTTGCCTTGTAACGGGAAGGTCCTGGGCTCAAAACCCATGGTGTGGGTGCGTACTGCCGATGAATCCCAGACTAGGATGAAATAGCTGTCCAATACTCCCTGTTTTCAATGGTTCTCTGACAAAATCAAACCTGTTAACCTAACAAAAAGAAACAACAAAATTACCAAAACAATGCAAGTTGGACACAAAATTTTGCTGCATTATATATTAGACTTTAATCGTCTGGTTGCTGCTGCTTCTGTATAACGTAATAATCTACTATTATTCTATATATTTACCACCTGTGAAGCTATGTTGGAATCGATGATATTACGCGTATCATGGATATGTCTACCCATAGCAATGCTAGCTACTCCTGCACCTAATGGCAATCTTTTTGGCATGTGTTCAGAAATTCTTTGTGCATGGACCATCTCAGTTTTTCAAACATACATGCTACTCCAAGTAGAGGTAAGTGAATAAGTGTGACTGGAAGAAATATAAGGGGTTCTTACATCCAGATTTGTTCCCCTGGAATGTTTTACTTGTGGTATTACTAATTTTGTAAAGTGACACATGCGTTCAACTAGCGATTGTTTTGTGAACTCACTTTGTCACGTTCAATGGTAAATTAATGATTACATTCTTCTCTGGCACAGATGTTTCAACCAATTTTTGGTTTTTTCATTTGGAATATGAAGTAGGAGACATAGTGGGGTATCCATTATCGATTAATATTTTGAGGATTTTCCTTAATTCACCACTGATCAGCTCTTTAGAACATAGTCTAGTTATCCTTGAAAACAAAGTCTTGATGGCAGTTTGTTTTGTATGAAATAGAACAAAAGCTAAACTCGTGGCTAAATTGTTTCATATTTCAATTCGTTCACAACTATGTTATCATTAGAACCTGGAAGTTTGATATCCTTAGTGAATGCCAATAAATGAAGTAGAATTTAACAGTTTCAGTGAATCTTATACCTATCAGTTGATTAGGACTTCGAAAATACAATAAAATCAGTTGACTGTTAAGTAAACGTTTACATTTACATTTTCTAAATGTTACTTTACCGTACCACAATGAGAGGTCATTATTAGATTAAAAACACTTTGTACAAACCTTTCTAAATACCCCCTGAATTGCATTGTTGTGTTGTACTGACTAGTGAATGTTTGTTTCTATCAGGATTCCAAAAGCCACAGATACCTTTATCCTAATTCTCTTCTTTCTTTAGCTAGTAGCCAAAAAGCAGCGCACATATGTCTAGAAACCATGATGTTATCATTTGTACTCTTATCCACCAACTGAGCGTTGGTGGCACAGCAGCAGAATGCTCGTCAACCACGCCTCACATGGTCCGGGGTTCGAGCCCCGGCCACAGACGCACTCCTTTACCTCGCTAAGCCAGTAATAAGACTGATAAAGAGGGTAGGTTGGGCATGAGGCTAACAACTTCACCCCGTAAAATTAAACACTACTGCTCCTGGAACTTCAAAGCTGTAGCTTGACGTCCTATGTTCCACTGGGAACGTAAAGGAATAAGAAAGAAGAAGAAGATAAAATCAAGTAGTTAACAGTATTATTTTTACAATTACTTTTATTTTCATTTTGAACAGATTGTAATGTTTCGCTTTTGCACATTCAAAATTGCATTGAAACCTAACGGTGAAAAGTCAAGTAAGTTCAAATATGTTTCTAAATATTTCTATTATTAATTCTGATTACAAATTTTCTTTTAAACAACCTATAATTCAATCAACGGCTCATCAGATAGAAATATTATTCAGATGAGGTGTAGTTATATTTCATAAAGCGAGTATTGCAGACAACAGAATACGTTTGTATGTTAGTCTGAAAGTTTTAATTATTTCAGTTAAATGCTCTACTGTGGTTTCTTCAACAAAGTTGACTCTAAAAATGTTACAACAGTGGTGAATAAGTTTTCATTAAAACAGAGTTACAACTTCCAATTTTGAGTGATTTTTTATATATCAGATAGGTTGAATGAACTAAACATTAGCTGGTTCGACGTGTTGTACACACATCATTTAAATCCCTGAAGAATATAATACTAAGAGACATCGACTGTCTGTCTTACTTATGCATGAAACTTTCATTAGTCTGTATTTTTTCTCATGCTCTCATAAATTATCAACTCTTCAGACATAGTTCTCAGTGAACTTACTACATTCACTACTTTCATCCAATTTATTCAAGCTATTGATAGTTAGACTCATTATTGTGCGTATTCCTATTACGCAAACTTCAGTTGTTTTTCTACACTATAAATACTATAAATGCCTTCATCATAATTTTTCGATATAGCAACAATGGACTAACATGGATGCAAGTGAAAAGAACAGCAGAAGACAGAAGCAAGTGGAGACGTGCAGTTGAACCCTTGTTCCACTAGGACCAGAAGTCACTACTAAGAGCAACAACATTTCCATAAACTACTCTACAGATAAAAAAAGTTTGTTATCTTCAGGAGGATTTTGAAATAGTGGAGATTTGTAGCTCACGTGGATGATATTGAATGAGTTGTCTTCTCTGAGTTGGTTGATTTAATTACGAAGCTTTCGTCGTCCTCTAGACATCTTCAGTGCAGGTTTTGTACAAATGAATTCATTTAAATTTTCCATGAATGACATAAATGTATCTCCTGGCAACCATTGTCGTGACTGGTTGTTAATTTACGTCTCTATTGATCATTTTTATTCACTTGGAATTTGAACTTTCTTGTCATGTGATTTGCTTTTTATTAGCTGATAAATTTGGTCTATAATATGTTTGTTAATCGCTGGCTGATTCACTCGAGTACCAGGCTTCTAGAAATTCCCTGACTGCATTTTTGGTGTTTCCTCTATTTAAAATTTCTACATTATCCCAATCATCAAATTGGTGTCTATAATTGTCTACTGATACGAAAGAAAATATATATCATGTCTTTTAACAGCTAATTTGTGTTCTTGGATTCGGATTCGATGGGGACGCCCACTTTGACTGATGTAATGTTTATTGTAGTTCATACAATTTATTTTGTAAATAGTGTTAATCTTATCTTCTTCTGCTGTTGGATCTTTTGGTTTGCAAAATACTGAATGAAGTAGTTGGGCTAGCTAGTCTGCTATATCTATTTCAAACGGTCTTAATATTCTAGTTGTTACTTTGGTGATAATTTTTATATATGGTAGGATGAATTTCCTTGTACTGGTGTAAAAACAGAAGACAAGGGCCAGGCAACAGATCGTTTATTAAGGAAATCAACACATATTTATATATTTTCATGTACATTATTATAGATTATTTAAGCAAACAAACACAGTCCTCTGATTCGTGGTTTCTCACTGAAAGTTAATCTTTGGTCTCTTTGTGGCTGCTTCTTGAATGTCAGATCATCTATATGCTAACTGTATCCGCCTACGCAAGGTCTTTGTTCATATTTTTCTCACGACCAATATTGGGGACATAAACATTGACGTAAATTACTGTCTACCAACTTTGGCTAGCAGCCAGCTCTCACCACACTGGTACTCAAATGTTATTCTGCCAAGTAATTTGTTATACTGTCAAAATCGGCAGTTGAATAACCATACCGTTTAATCATTTTCATATGAATTTACAGTGAGTTTTCATGAACATGTGGTTGTTGTACAGTCAACGACAATTAATCACTGTGTTAAAATTAATGAAAGCACAACTTTCTATCACGAATACTAATTTTTCAGTGTCATATAGCTTAAGGTTTTAGAATGTAAGTATAGATTTAAAAAAGTCACACAATATTTTTCAACAGAAAATAACAGAACCGTTTAGTGAACAGAGGTTACAGTTTTCTTTTCAGTGGATTGATTTAGGAAACTAATTGGTTTTACCAGACTGACCCAGTAAAATCGTTGACAAGAATGATGAAGGACCACTGTGACGCAAAGAAGACGAAATACAGGTAATCCAGTCACTATGATGACTCTACAAATGCTTCTTTCATATAACAACAACAACAACAATTACTGAAATAAAACGACTTTAGTTTCATTCTCACCAGTAGTAGGTATACAAGATTATGTGACTCCTGTTATCGTTGAGTACGTTGTGTAAAAGTGCTACTAGCACGTCTTAATCTACTTCACCAATTAGCTTTTACTTTAATGTCTGCTTTTCAATTTTTGAAGCATACATCTTTAAATTCTTCAGGCATAATAATTTTATGACCATTTTAAAAATTTTGTATAGGGGACAATCACAAATCACTATTGCATCTTAAAGGTGAGATGCTCTATGTAAAAGAATGGTCGATGCTATTGTTTATCGGTAGACCAATGTAAGTTAGTTAGTTGTTTGAGTTATATAAATTAAAAATGTTACACATTGGCGGTATGTTCATGTGCATCAATGGTCTCTGAATTATATTTTTGATTTTTAATATGCATCACTGAGGCCTGTAGTGCGTCGGTGGCACAGCGGTTAGGACGCTCGCCGACCATGCACATGGTACGGGGTTCGATCCCCGGCCGACGCACTCCTTTACCTTGCTAAGCCAGAAATAAAGCTGGTAAAGAGGAAAGGTTGGGCATGAGGCTAGCGACCCCATCCTGTAAAAATAAACACCACTACTTCAGAAACTTCAAGCCTCTAGCTTGAAGTCCTACGTTCCACTGGGAACGTGAAGGAATAAAAAAATATTTAAAAAAACTGAGGCCTGTAGGGAACATAATAGCGAGTTTGGTAACAGAAAAAATACTAGAACAAAAATCCAAGTTTAATGAAATAATAGTGTGACAGTATAGTATAAAAAAATACAGTTAACGAGTTACAGAAATTGATAGTTACTTGGTGATACAGTTAAAGTCCGCTGCCATAAATTATTAATATAATTCACAGAAGTGTTCACTACTGCAGTCGTGTCTACTAGTAGACGCTGTGCACCGGTTGTAGAATACTTTTCAGATGAGAGGTTCCCGCAGAATCCAAAGGATACAACACGGTTAGTAATGAAGTAAGTAGACAGTATGGACCAGTGAGAAGACGAAGCGTCAAGCAGCACACTGTATTTTAGATTGTACTCCGGAATTATGTATATGTTACCATGATTCGTTGTAAACAAAAGTTATGTAGAATGTTTCCATTTTTAACATCTAACAAAAAACTGTACAGTCATATTGTTCCAGAAACTAAAAGGCCTCTTAGTTGTCAACATTCAAATACTATTTATTATTTTATTACCTTCAGTGACGAAAGCAATCTTGGGAACTACTCTCTACTTTCAAAGGAAATAAGTTTTAATAATTATCTTATCAACAAAATTCACACACCCTGACATAGATACTGACTGTATTAAAAAGTTACATTAGTGTTATATGTGTACAATTTGCATACTTACAAAAACTGAGTTGCTTTTAGAAATTCACTTTAATTATGTAGAGTAGTTCATTTTGTATTACTACGTTGGGAGAAGAGAAAGAAATGCACACACACCTCCGATTTTCTGAGGGAACAAACGCTTACAATAGTGCCATTATCAGGCATCTCCTTGATACGGATCATGAGGTAGAAATCGCAAAATCCTTCAAAATTATCAATGGACAAAAAATCTCAATTCTCCTCAAGTTTGACGAAGCAATCTCTATCAAACGCCTGAAACCCGATTTATGTGTGTGTTCACAAAGAGGCAGTTATCATCAGTGTTTCCTTGCCCTGCTACCTGGTAACTGGACGTCTTTATTCTCTCTCTCTATTTCATTTGATTACGTAGTCTCTGGCTTTAACCTCACCCCCCACACCTTTGATATAGTGTAATTTTCCTTGTCTCTTGTTTCTATGATTTGAGTTGAACTCAGTACATTGTTACCTAATTAACTAGTCATTCATCATCGTACACACCTGTCATCTTTATTACGTAACTCCTTTACCATTGTATGCATACATTTACTCTGTGTAAACTTGAACTGCCTGTGTAAAAACTACATGAGCGTAATTTTCTGAGCACTGTTGACTAATTCCTGGACCTCCTGTCAACTGACATCATGTAAAATTTGCAAGTATGTTAAAACTGTCTCTGTACATGAACTTAATAATAATTTATTTAGTCTGTAAGCAGCTGATGAGAGGATGAATAAATGATGGTACCATATTATTCTGCACAAATCACTGTTCTTGTTTTATTAAAATTTATTAAAATCCATTATATAATAAGAGTTTTCATATAGTCATAATCACCAAAGAAATGATTTGTCTTATAGTTTGCTATAAGAGAACAAAGTCTTGTCGACTATTCAGTTCTAAAATACGAAGAAAACGTATTTATTTCATACATTTATTCCTCTTAATTAATTTGAACAAAAACAAAAATAACAAGAACTACAGTTTTAGCAGAATAAAGTGCTATCATCCTTTATTTCGTTGCCTTCTCTTCAGCTGCTTACAGGCCAAAGACATCATTAAATGTATCTACAAAATCAATTTTAACATACTTGCACAGAGTTCATTTTAAACAAAAGTTAATTGATCAATATACGCATACACTAATAATATATATGCAATATTAAACACAATTCCGAACAATAATAATCATACACAATGAAAACTTTTCAGCATCTCGCATTCGGATGAAAAATATCCAGTTACCAGGGCAAAGAAAGACTGATAACCGCTTCTTTCTGAACGCATAAGTCAGGTTTCAGGTACTTGATGGAAATGGCTTCAGCAAACTTAAGGAGAATTGAGCTCTTTTGCTTATTGATAATTTTGAACGACTTTTCGACGTCCACCTCATGACTCGTGTCGAGGAGATGCCTGGCGATGGCACTGTTTAAAGTATTTGTTCCCTTTAGACGTAAGCTTTTTGGTACATGTTCAGAAAATCGTAGATATGCCCTTCTTTCTGTTCTTCCAATGTAACTACTCCCGCAGATATTTAGCTGACCGTTTTCAAAACAACATACTTTTATTTACTTAAGTCCTATTGTCTATCATAGCAGAAGCAGCAGCTGTCAATGCTTTTTCAAGTAGATAAAATATCGCTTCAATTTTTATAAAACAGCTGTGCAGTAGTAGGAAACATTTACAATGTATAATTCGAATTTTAGGTTTAGGAAGTATAAGACTAACCTAACAAAATATCATTCTAATCGCAGATTTTAACTTATGTAACACTGTGCTAAAAATACTAGTTAGTCCAATATTCAAACGATTGTAGCATGTAATTTAATGCTTCAGGAGATATTACTAGTATGATATTTTATTTGAAGCCTTTTCCCCCTACTTTTTATTTATTCTCTTTTTTTAAACAATATGTAATATTTTATAGTGTCCTGAAGGTGAAGTCGTTGGTTGACTTAGGACTTCATCTGCAAGATTTAAATATGTATGACACATCTGCCGAAACAGTGATTCAAGGGAATTCAATGTCAGAAGAACTTTTAGTGTTATTAAGAAAGGCAAGTATGCAAAAAAGTTTGAATAACCTTAGTGTTTAGTTGCTTTCAATTAGTTTGTTTTAAATGCTTTATTTCGCGCGCACACACACAACTGAAAATAAGGTATATTGAAGTAAAAAAAAAACATCTGTGTTCTCTTGTGCCAACTAAACAGATTGATTTACTATTGTGTTGGTGTGATACAGACAATGTGTTCCAACGGAATATTATTCTCACATATTCCCACAGTTTAATACAGTGTTAGCAACAGAATACTAGTGTATTTAACATTCTATTTCATGTCATTTAATGTAAACCAAAATCACACGCTCAGTGTTTGGTCAGAGAGTATAAACTGTGTATAGGTATATATAAATAGCTTCCGTGTTTTGCCCTCTACTGTTACACTATGACTAAAACCTACCGTTCTATGTGTCAGTGTGAACTGTACAATTTAAAAATGATTTCTAAATTATTTGTACTTTAGTGTAAACGAAATACTATCGTTTGTCTATTCATTTGTTAATTCAACCTAGCAACAATAAGACTATTTATATCAGGAGAATATATATATATATTAACGGATTAAATGATGTTTATCATGTAAATCTGATTTTCTGAATACAGTCAACTTTCACATCTCAACTCAAAGACTTACTTTATTATATTTTTTAGTTTTGTGTGATGCATCTTAGAAATATAACTCGTTTCAGCATCAGTAAGTGCACAGTAAAGAACTTTGAGTTTCTACTCAAATTATTTTCTATTTTAATCCTAGGTACAATATACATTCTAAGTAATGCTGGCTTCATGGCACTTTAGGCCAACAGTTAAAGTTAGAAGGACTAACTATTTCAAAAGACACTTAATAATTCTACTGCATCATACAGTCTGATGATCTGATTTGAAATTTGCATACCGATTTGTAGAGATAATCAGCAATGCCTTTTTCAACTGATCACGACTGTGTCACTGATGTTTCTAATAGCCTACAGATACCAATCAGACTCCTGAGAAAAACGAACAAAAAGGTTTTATCACAAGTGTATGCAGTTGTACGCTTACATATACAATCACCATTTTGTCAAAAAGCATTCAAGTAAAGTGTGATAATTGAAAGTGAAATGAAAATCTGGGTCGCGTTAGGATTAAAACCAACGCCTTCCAAATTTCTAGCAGTTGAGCCTTGAAACTCTAGCAGCTAACCGTATCTTTGTTATACTGCAATCACCATGGTAATGCCGAACTGTTATATGAATGGATAATACAAAACTGTTTATTTATAACTACATAAGCTGCCCAGTTAGATCTTCACCTGTCATTCCTAATCATACTGAATAAGAATGAGAAGGATAGGTTGTAAAATGATGGTGAGGCCATCTGAGATGGCTTGGCGTTGGGGTACTATTAACACCATAATGTATGACGATTGAAGGTGAAATTCCAATCAGACCTATGATGACCTGCTTAGCAGGTCCCGTAGTTCAGCTAATACTCTGTAAGACTGGTAATCTGGGGGCTGCCACTTCAAATGATGCTGCAACTCAGATTTTTATTTTACTCTCAATTATAACTTATTATCTATAGTAGTCTTCCATTCCAAGGCTATTTCAGATAGTCTTGTCATCAGGTAACATTCATCCATGTTTATAAAAAACCGTTTAGAATTTTGGTCCAACTGGTCAACTCTTGTTTGATTCCCTACTGTTCCAAGGAAATTTCATAAATAAAGTTACACAAACATTCACAGCAAGTTTCACAGTAAACTGGCAACCAGGTTAGTTTCTCTTCTAGTAAGTAAAATTGTGTTTCAAGTTATCAGTTTAGTGGATGGAAATACGATTAATTTAAACCTTCGACTCACTAGTAGAAACGTAGTGTATGCCCCGATACTTTATCTCTGCCTCATGTATAACTATGTAAAGACGTATTGATTCAGTAATTGTACAAAACCTGTCCACTTCTACTTTTCAACATGCAGAATAGGGTTGTCTTCATTTTTGAATAGTTGATAAATTAACTAATACAAATCGGTTATTTCTGTCTTACTTACAGCAAAAGAAAGAAAGTAAAGAATTAGCAAAAACAGCTAGACGACTGGATGAACTAAGAATAAAAACATTTGAACTGTTGACTCAATGTTTACCCAAGGAAGTTGCGGAGCAAATTAGTCAAGGAAAACTGCCTTCAGAAACTATTAAGGTGAAGTAATGTTTTATATATATAGGAATTATAATTTAGTGAGTCTTTCTTAAACATGTATCAATTTTCAAAGTAATATTGGTCTTCAAGTGTTGATTTGCAGGGATTAGATTGATCTGAGATCAGATAACGGGGTGACAGTTAGAGAACCACTAAAATTCGCAGAGTACTAGACAGCTGTTTCGTCCTAGTTTAGGATTCTTCAGCGTTACTTACCCATGAATTAGTAACCTGATGGTATTGCGTTCGTGGCTTGATAGGGTCATGGGTGTGCACTGCTAAAGTGAACTAAGTTAAGACGAAACAGCTGCCAGGTACTCCCTGGTCTTCAGTGGGTTTTTTAACTGATGTCAATTCGTGATTCAACTTACAAAAACGGATTATAGTACTACCGTAAGTTATAACATGTAACAGCATCACTTAAAACGTTAGCGTTTTGCATATATCTTTGAAGTCATTTGGTTGAAACTTTAAAAACAAGCGTAGTTTATAAGTTTACATATTGCAATCAAAGCCGTAGGGATGTTTCTGTTCCTCTACATCAAGTCTCTACTACTTATTTAACTCTATTTAATAAGATAAGACTAGTAGGCGTCTAAGATGTACTTTCTTCAGTATTGTTTACAAGGATGCAGATTTATTAAACAGGATAACAATGTTCTTCAACACATACCCGACTGGGAGAAAAAAATAGTGTCTCTTATTCGAAAATTATTAAACAAAAGTGTTAAACATCTAAAATTATTCTCAGTTGTTGTCAGTATGTCTTTAGGGATTGTGAGGCTATGTGAATACTTTTTTTCTATGGGTTATTTTCTGGATGAATGTTTGATAATACAACTACTTATTATGTAGCTCACTGGTTGATAGATTGAGTCTATACTAATAATATCGTTGTCTGCTGATTCAACTGAGTATCAACTCTCTAAAATTATCATTATTTTTTTATTATAGCTTGATTCCTTACAATACTTTCTGTAGTATGGAATTTTCAGCATGTGATATCGGTAGCCCAAATTTTTTGCAGCCCGACCATTAATATCAGGTGAGCGTAGGCAGGGCATAGAACCCCGAACCATGTGCATGGTCGGCGAGAGTCCTAACCGTTGCGCCACTGACGCACAGCAACTCAGCACTCGGATTAAAACTTGAATATCTGATAAGCAAAATGAATAGACGTTAGACAAAATGTAAAGATCATAGAGATATGGAGACCAAACCTGTAAAATGGAGTGTATTTATTCATGGACTCAGTTTTTGACATTTCACATTGAGACAATGTAAAAAAAATAGAAGATTAAGAAAGATAGGTGGGAAATTTATTATTATAAGTGATAGGATCCAGCGTAAAATAGTGTATCATCTTTTCTCACGAACCACGTGACTTATCTTGTGATGGAGTTACTATGTGAACGTATCATTTCTCACGCATATTGTGATTTAGTGTGTGAGATCGATTCGTCGTCTTTTGTCTCACCTTGGTCTTTGTCGGATCGCCAACCAGTGAGAACAGACATTTCCATCCAATAAGAGCAATCCATTCTCACTGTTGTGAGCCGACTTTATTATGGTAAAGAAAATGTTTAAGTATCATGTGTTGTTTCTTAAACTAATGTTATATAGTACAGTACAATAAAATATCTTACAGTCACAGGCCAGCCTTTGTCTTTTGATATTTGCGTGGCTCAGTGAATCGGAAGGTACAACGGACAAAAAGGCATATTAGCGTACCAGTAGAGTTCATTACCGTTATAGTAATTAAAAGGCGACTTAGGTCTGTGCAAGAACTGGCGTGGAATAATGCTCTTGTTCACGCCAAGTAAAATACTAAGTCGCATCATCCTGGAGAGAATAAAGGATGCACTGGATACAGAACTCCGCCCCACATGGACAAGCTAGATTGAGGAAAGGCGAATCATGTGCTGATCAAATTACAACTCTACGCATCGTCATCACAGAACAAGCCATAGAATGGCAGTCAAACCTCACTCAACCTCAACTTCATCGACTTCGAAAAGGCCTTCACCAGACAGCGTTGACCGAGAAGTAATTTGGAAACTGCTTCAACACTACGATGTACCTCAAGTCTTTATTAACCTCATCCATCAGCTATATGACAGTGGCACGTGTCAGGTGATCCACAATGGGAAACTCAGCGAAGCGTTTGAAGTGAATGCAGGAGTAAGACAAGCTGGCTGCCTATTATCACTGATGATATTCTTAATTGTGGTGGACTGGATTATGCATCAGACTATGCATGGGAGCGAGGAGTCAGGAATACGCTGGACCACCGATAAGAAGACTCTAGAAGATCTGGATTTCGCGTGTGGATGATATGTGTCTAATGTCACACAAACTCGAAGACTTGCGAGCGAAAACCAACAAACTGGCTGAAGGAGCTGGCAGGCAGCGAAGAGAGGACTGCAGGTGAACACAGAGAAGACGGAGGTAATGAAGACAACCAACCAACAGCGACAACAAACAGCACCAATCACCATCAACGGGAGAGATTTAACATAGGTTACTTCCTTCACTTATCTAGGAAGCCGGCATTGTTTCAACCACAGGCGGAACGCATAAAGATTACAACACCAGCCAGAATAACATCGCGCGCAATGCAGGCCATCGCTCGAGTGGAATCCAAGTGGGAAGTGACGAGCGGGTCATCGTAGGGTGACATGGAAGCGATCGTGTGAGGAAGAGATGAGAGAGTGGCAATACTGGAATAACCGCCATATTCCCGGTGGATAGTAAAGTACTTCCTGACAGCAATCTTTCCCAAATAATTTCAAGTACTGAGGAAATTCATGCTTTTTGTCATATGCTACCAAAGTCGAATTTCTAATCCAGTTCAACTCATCTAACTACTAAATCTTATTCTTTTTAAGGTTTAACAATAATTATATCAAGTCCACGAAGTCTTTTAAAATACCGAGAAGCCAAAATGCTTTTCTATTTTTAACTTGAATTACGTCACTGGTAAGCACTATGGACTGATTTATTTTTCGGTTAACTTTTGTTACCCGAAAATGTAGGTGTTAGGAAGATTACTAGATCACAGTGATTTTAGAACTGAGTATTTATAAATAGAAAAATTCAGTTCAAGGTTGAGTACCTATTTCTCAACTATTGAAGATGAAGTAGACGATAAATTCTTCAGATATTTATCTAGATTTACTGAAAACGAGTTCAACTGATGGTCATAAGTATTCGATTTGAATCACTTTTCTCTAGTTCCCTCCTTTGTTTGAGTAGTGACAGAGTTTCAAACACAGATGAACTCTACACGAGAAAATTAAAGAGACATCTGATACAATATTTCAAGCTACCATAGGAAGTTTAATTAATTTGAATACCTGCTTAATAAAATTGTTCTTGTGAAATTTTGTAAGACAGGGAAAATTTGTGTCAGTAGATGGTAATTTACAGGGAATCGTAATGATTTAAAAGATGATCTGGTATTGTGTGATCAGTATGTCAATTTACAAATCCGCATGAGCACATCTACAAAGGGAAGAGTAATCACCATTTATATATGAGAAAGGGGAAACGTAACCAAATAGCTCTGAAAATAGGTTAACCAGAAAATCTTTGTAGGCATAGGTGTCAAGCTTTGAAATTAGTGACTTTAAGGTAATACCCATAATCAGTAGTATAATTAATTTTATTTATATATATATATATATCCATTTCAAACTGGACTCCTTTTCGTTTCATCTTATTTTTCAGACTTATGATTCAGTTACAATATGTTTTACCAAAGTAGTTAATTTTTCCAATTATTGCAGTCGAATGTGTGTACAGAAGATTGTTGGTATATTAAATCAAATGTATACTCTGTATGATTCAATGACTGAATCACATAATGTTTTTAAGGTAACTATTTTATATTTCTTTGTTTTAACAAAACAAAATTGTACATCATATTTATCGCAAATATTTTGAAAGTTGTTATCGAATCCAGGAGAAACAGAATCTTTTTTTTAAATTTAGGATGAGATTATTTATTGAAAATTGCGTCACCTTTATTGTTTCCAGTTCCTATATGAATTCAAAGACACTTTGATGTTTCACTTGTAAGAATTGTTTTTTTTTTTAAATCTCGCAAATGAAACAACAAAATTGTTATATTTTCAAGATATGAAGAATATTTGTTCAAATGAATGAATAGGCATTTGATTCTGGTGAAGTTTATGATGCTACAGAGTATTTCACTTTACTCATGCAATCAATAGATTTTTTTCTCTGTTTGAAATAATACTGGAATCATTATGTATTTTTTTTCATTCCTTTACGTTCCCAGTGGAACATAAGGCTTCAACCTAGAGGCTTGAAGTTTTGGTAGCAGTGGTGTTTATTTTTACGGGATGGGGTTGCTAGCCTCATGCCCAACCTTTCCTCTTTACCAGTCTTATTACTGGCTTAGCAAGGTAAAGGAGTGCGTCAGCCGGGGATCGAACCCCGGACCATATGAGGCGTGGTTGGCGAGCATTCTTCGGCTATGCCACTGACTCACTTGATCACTATGTATTAGGTAGATAAAAATAATCACTTAGTGGAACGCTGTTTTTGACTTGACTCAGTTTTTTCATTGTTTTCTATCAGTCAATTTTTGTACTCAGTGAGAATTTGTAATATAGTATATTACATGGATTTCCAAGCCATTGAGCATAAGCCAAATAAGAAGAGATGGGTTCAGAATCCAAGGGTGATGTGGAGAAGATCATAGAGAAGAAGAAATAAAAGTTTTTGAGCAATCGTAAAGCCAGCTGAAAACTATTGCAGAGGACAGAGTATATTAAAGATGTGCCTTTGCAACCCTATTTATGCATTAGAATTCAGCATAATAATACAGGAGAATATGAGATAAAAACCTTATATTTCTTAACTAATAAGCAACAATAGGTTACACCTTAAGGTAAATTATAATACTAAATTTTAGAAACTTTTCTAGACAGTCTTCACATCAACATTTATTTTTGGCATGTCTGTTTTTCAATCTATTTGAATGGCTTAACCTTGTGTGCGTCGGTGGCACAGCGGTTAGGACTCCCGCCGACCATGCACATGTTCCGGGGTTCGATCCCCTGCCGACGCACACCCGAAATCAATGGTCGGCCTGCGAAATTTGGGCTACCGATATGACATGCTGAAAATTCCATACTTGTATCAAAAATACTGTGTAGAGCTGAAATTAAAAAAATAAAAATAATAGTAGTAGATATTTATCAGTGGACGAAATCTACGTGACAAAGTTGATCATACAGTGTTAAATGTTTTTGATCGAACTAATGTAATTAGGAAATATTTTTATTCAAAAGGTGGAAACTATAAACGACAGTTACATGCTGGTATCTGGTGCTCCTAGCCCATCACCGTTTCATTCTGCTCATATAATTGAAATGGCCTTGGATATCTTAGAAGTAACAAAGAAAAATCTATTTTGGCCTAGTGAAGCTATTTTAAGTGACTCAACTCAAAGTCAACAACAAGTACCACTTCAACTGTGTATAGGTTGTCATACTGGTCCCATTGTCGCTGGAATTGTTGGATTTAAATCTCCAAGATACTGTCTGTTCGGTGATACGGTAAACACAGCAAGTAGGATGATGAGCGCTGGACTTGTAAGTTTCATTTTGTTTTATCTTTCCCATAAGAAAGTTTGATCTTATTGGTTGATTCACAATAAATCCGTTAAAAGTGTCTTGGAGATGCACATTGTATTCAGAACTTAGTTGAGGAGCTGTTCTATTCTTACAATAAAAATCTCTTCAGAAAATATATTTCTATTGTTAAGGTAAGAATGTTTCCACAGTTTTTATTGCTTTCTGTGTTCCGCATTTTGATGACGTTGGTCTTAGTGCTGTTTTCATTGTGATGGCTTCAAATTCTTTCCGAGCTATTAGTATTGTGGCCAGTCTCATATATTTCACACGTGATTCGAATAAACGTTTTACAGAATTTCGAGGTATTTTTAGAAGGAAAGTTCCGAATTTACAAGGTGTTCTACAGCTAGATCGAAACTGTATTCTCCTTTTTCCTTTGTCAGAGCTACTTCGACCGAATTTTCCATTCACTCTAGACTCCGTAATCTTTGGATTCCCTCCTCTGAAGTTATGTAACGAGTGCCTAAGATCATCTTTCATAATTCCTCACCAGCTGTTAAAATTTTTCATCACTTATGCAACCTACTTTTGCAAAAAATTCTTTAACGCATAACATAGTATGGCGTGAGCTACTGATGAGATTTATCAGTAGTGTACTAACAGGCGTTCATCGGCATGAACGTATCAAATAACGGAGAGGTAGGTTTGACATCAAAGAAAGCAGACGATTCAGTGTCATAGAGAAACACGGGAGACACAAAAATAAACAAAGAAACACAATACGAAGGGCAGAATTAGCACAACACGGAAGATCTGTACAAATGACGAGACAAACATCCCATTACCAAGTCTCTCATCTTCTGCAGTTGCAAAAATTTCATATCGAATTTTCGAAACCACTCAGAGAAGAATAAAATATGATATATTTCCAGGAGTGAACATAATATGGACATTTGATCAAATCTATTCTTCACAGTTAATCTTTTACCCCCATAGCAAAATATAATTCACAGTATATTGCATTACTTATACTGGCTATGCTACCTATCAAGGCAATAAAAATAAATCGGAAAACATAGATTGAACAATTTAAAAGCACACAAGTATTCTGAATATTTGTATTGTTACTTATCACTTATCATAGTTACATTCTTAAAGATGAGTTCATAAATAGTACAGAATTCTCAAAGTGCTTACTTCATTTCTAAAATATTCAACTAAATTAATAATCGGTTGTATTGGCAATTTATCATTTAAAGCAGTATACTGTTGTTTCCAAAACACGCTTTAATATAACCGGTGATGTTTACTTCACCATTTCCTTAGAAAACTTCATTTCACTAAGTTGAAATCTACTTGAAAATGGGAGTGAGTACAAACTGCGGTTCAACGATATAATTGGGTGGTTTAAAAAAACCTGAAATAGAGCAAATAATATGCATTCTGATGAATGAAAAATTAAGTAACTCAGTTATTTAAGCAGGCCGCCATTCTATACTGACAGTATGTATTCCAACAAGAGATACAACAGAGTACTTCATAAATTCTTGCTATTATTGAACCTGTTGACAGGATCTGGTCATAGATATCACAACTGATTCATAAATATCACTGGAGCTCTTTTCCCAATGCTAAAAGATAATTCATTCACACATTATCTGCTATTTGATTTAAAGGTCAATGTTTCTGTCCTTTTAACAATCTCGATGTAGTGCGTATTACAAATACAAACCTATAAAGGTCACATTTATTCTCATCTTGAAGCAAATACCGATTTTTGTTGTCTGGATTTACAGTTTAGGGGTTACTCTGACGACAGTTATTTGAATTTGATAATGTCAGCTTGTCATTCAACTATAATTGTGACATCTCACAGATTTTAATCGAACAGCTCCAGGGGTATCGATATAAGGTTAAGTCCCAGAGGGCAAAGTGAACATTACCTGTAACTACCTGCCAGATGTTCACTGATGATAGCTCCAACTAGAGCACGATCAATAATATGAAATTCCAATATTGCGTAGATTAGTTCACTTAACCTGTCAAATGTCAAATTTACCAGAGTTTAGTTGATGTCTAAAGAAATTGATTGTAACTGCATTCGTACTGAACTTATGCAGTGCACGACTTCCTTAGGTGTCAGTGTAAGGATAGATTTTTTCAAAAGATTGGTCTTCATATAATAATCTCTGTTAAAAATTACCTATTCATTTTCTAAGATGACTTCATGGAATATTCCAAAAAATTTTCTTAATTAAGTTGTGAAACTTATTGATTCACAAACTAACAATCTTTTTGCAAACACATGCAGACAAGTGTGTGTATTGAAAATATTCTATGTCTGTGTGACAAAAAATACTTGTGTAACTATTGAATTTTTGACATACATTTTTTTCAGCCAGACATGGTTCATGTGAGTTCTATGGTAGCTGAAAATCTCTTAAATTATCCGTATGTTCTAGAGAACCGAGGTGAACAAATGATAAAGGTAAGCTTACAGAATAACGCTTTGTCGCTATTCAAAATGTATTTTCAGTCGAAAGTATTTTAAGACTTTTCAGTTATTAATAGAATATTTTAAATGCTGAAAGAAATGGATTGACGAAACTGTCTAGTATGATTTTCCAATAATCACCTTTCAAATGGAGCATGTGTACGTCATTCTTAATCTGTTGTGTGAAAGACATAAAGAAGTATAAATATGCTCTGAAAAAAAAGATCATTTACTCGACATAATCCAATGTGATGACTGAAGTAAGAAGTTTGAAACAACTAATATAAACTGATCTAAGGGGAGGCTTTCAAGCATTCGAGAAGAGTTCATCAAATAAATATTTGAGTTGTTTCAGTGTACAATCATCCAATCGATCTTCACTTTATAAAAGTGATCATTTGTAAACTATATCAGAATCTTACATTTTGGTAATCTTTGCAGTCAAATAAAAAAGAAATAAATCTAATCCTTACAAACCAACTCTTGCAAATTAATCGCTCGCTAGTGAATTGCTACAGGACGGAGTTTCCTGGAGTTTTACTGAGAAGTCGTGACCAGTGAGGTCCATCCAGTCGGGAGTGAGGATGGAGTTCCTTCCAATGACATTGGTTGGTGGTTGCGCTAAAAACCACGAATTCGTAGAAGTTAGAATTCATAGGCCATTGAATCTGGTCCCAGTGGCATGATGGTATTCGAGCTCGCTGGCATTGTAACCCGAAGGTCCTGGGTTCGAATCCCGGCGTGGGTGCGTTCTGTTGAAGAGTCCCAAACTATGACGAAACAGCCGTCCAGTACTCCCTGCAGGTTTTCCAATGGTTCTCTAACTGATGTCAGCTCATGATGAAAATCGTAGAACGATTGAGTATTGGAACCAATGTAAGATCAAACAGTTGAAAGTAGCATTGGGTTATGAGATAATTATTTCCCCCTCCTTATTTAAAAAAAATTATATAGGGAAAAGGGGAAATGATCACATACTTTGTCATTGGTCGTAAAACAAATTTTACTGTAGTAGATGAAATAACTGGAGAAGAACTTGACTTCAGAAAGTTGTTAAGAGAGGATGCTGAAAACCATTATAGAATATGGAATGAACGAGCTGATTTAGATTCAGAAATTCATTGTGATAGCTATGAAGATGAAACAGATACATTTTCAATGTCAGAAATGTCAACCATGTCAGATGAAGTTCAACAGTTAGATCTCGACATAGAGAACACTACTGTAAACAGAATAAATGATTTAAATCAAAGTGATCCTGACATAAAGCTATTTGCAACAAACTCGATTCAGACAAAACAAAATGAACAGGATATACGTAAGTAACTTGATTGTTTGAACTTTTCGAGTTACTTTAATTTTGTTCATTCTACTTTCGGAAAATTTCCCTTCATCATTATTTTCGCATTAGAAGTTCTTCTATGTGGGAGAAAAAAAATGCTTACTGTGGTAGGATATGATTTCATATTAGCTAAGTTTGTATGATCTAACACAGTGGTACAATGCTAACAACTGGATGATTATTTGGGCATAATTTACTTCTTTTTGTGGACTTGCTCCTTCCTGTTTTCTTATTACACTTTTCTATATATCCAGGATAGCTGTTGCATTATTTGGGTGATTGGGTGATTGATCTCTCTCCTTTTCAGACTACATTACTTCTTAATACTTTTATAATAAAGGTTTTTGTATTTCTCAGTGAATGATTAACAAAACGACATTGTTTTTATTGATGTTTCGCTATTTAATGCTAATAGCTTTATCAAAGTATTATTAAACCGGAATTTACAAAATCTCAGCATATACATAACAAAGAGTTAAGAGGTGACAAAATAGACTTAGGTCAAGTTAAAGGGACATATTGAAAGTCAAAATAACAATGAATATCACTAAACCAAATAACAAAGGTAATAGTACATCTGTTATGATATCAAAACAAAGTTTACTAACTTGATCATCGTTCGTCAGTCTGGGGTCATTTTTCGTTGTCAAGTTGGTCAATTGGTAAAGATAACAAAACCAAGTGTAGATTGTTGGATTTGATCAGAGTGTAAAATTATAAAAGTAGTGTGTGTTTACATAGTGAACTTGCTTATCACATTTGTGTTGATTTTGTCACTTCATGGGGGAGGGAGGTGTTGTAACCAGGTCAGATTCTGTTTTAGTCCATCATTCCTATTCAGGCAATTTTGATTCCACTTGATATGAAGTGCTTCTGATATTAGACGTTCTTTGTGATTTCTGAAGTTTTTCTGGATTATTTCAGTATTGTCAAAATCAATTTTGTGGCCTGATTCTATAGCATGTAGACCTATGGCTGATGATTTTTCCAGTTTTTGTAGTTCAACCGGATTTCTCGGTGGTCGAAGAGATACTCTACGGCGTTCATTTCTTCTGATTTTGATTTCTCGAGATGTTTGTCCAATGTATATCGCATCACATTCCAAGCATTTTATTTTATAGACACAATTAGATAGAGAATCTTTAGGGATTTGGTCTTTTATATGGAGAAGGTTGTTTCGTAGTTCTTAGTTCATTTCCGAATGAATTCTGGTGGGTAATTATTCACCAGTAATATTTATTTGATTTCATAGTTAAAATCTTTTGATTTAACAGTTAGGTTGCAGACTCACGAGCATGATTTAAAAACGTGCAATCGAAATGACGCAACACCAATCTTGTATATATGGGAAACTGCAGTAAGAAGACAGTTCCTACTAGTAATGGGCTAGTAATAACAGTAAATATCCAAGTAAATGAAATGACTGATGAAACCCTAGTTCAAACATCCGTAATCGTTTTCTGTGTACTCTTATCTATCCTTACCATTCATCTGTTTTTATATTTTAGACATGAATCAACTCGATGAGTTACATAATGCAGAAAATGACACACAATCAACGCTACGCTTTACATCTTTAAAGTCGAATATTTTTCAAAACCTTGGTAAGGATAATTATTCTTGTTGTTAAGATTTAATAATGTGAAATATTCCCATATCATGAATTAAAAGTCAATCTGAACGAAGAATATTCTTTTCAATAATTTCTCTTCAGGTTCTTACAATTATAAAATATAATATTTACTGTCGTTACAATAAAGGCCAGTTATGCGGCGGATACATTTTTAACGTAGAATAACAGATTAGTTATGGGGTGTCAAAATAAATTGTCGTATTTGTGTGACAAACGTGCTGGGCTGAAATCGATTACAAAATATTGTAAAATGGGAGACAATGGTGGTGATTAGTCATAATAGATTTGTAGAGTGTGGGGTAGGAAAACTGACAAGTCAGTTCAAGGTTATAAAAGGTGTCAGGTGAGTGGCTAGTACAAAGTGGTCTGTATTAAACAGGAGATAGTAAGACTGCAATGAGAGGTTCATCATGAAATAACGAATGTGTGAAATGCAACAGATGGAGGCATATATTGAGAAAAGAGATAATATCACTAATAATAAGTCCGGATAGTATAAATGAAAAATTCGATAGTATTGAGAGAATGTTTGCATGAAGGGCATAAATTATGACGAATAATAATGATAATAATTGTAATAATAAGCAAAGGAAAAAAAACCAAGAGGGTTAAGGGGAAGAAGCACTTTTGGCCAAACTTGGATTGATGATTCTTCTCATATAGAAATTTTAGGTACTCTTAAAACATGAAAATAATCTGTGTATCTTCAAATTTTCGCAGGTAAAATCAATAATATTCAGTTAGCTGACATAGGTTAGAGAACCATTGGAAAACCCACCTGGAAGTACTGGACAGCTGTTTCGTCCTATTTGGACTCTTCACAGTACGCACCCACGGGGGTTCGAACCCAGACTCTGGTTACAAGCACTTCAATTCACGACATAGCGACCCTAGCCAATGTCTTCGGCGAGTATTTGTCCTCACACGACTGCTGCACCAAACTTGAATATCAATGAGATGCTCACTGGCGACTGGCCCTATTCAGGTAGGTAGTTACCTGTTCCAGTAGGAAATATGATATGTCTAGTGCTTCCTTTTGCATCTGAGTTATGATTTTGAGGGTAATAACATATTGTAGGTCATGAGTTTTAAATTGTTAACAATAAACTTACCTTTATTGTGACTGACTAACTGAGATTCAACATAAAACTTTACACAGAAAAGCAACAGTACAAATCCGCCACACTCCATGTATCACACAAAAGTACAGAGAAGAATAAAGAACTATAATGAGCAGAAATGTACAGGAGAAACGATGTTAACAAGAAAAAGCATAACAGTTTAGTGGATATTAAAGATCACAAAGAGTGAATGCATCTGCACAATCGAGAACGATTTCAACTCATATCACCAATAGTCTCCAGCCATAAATTCTTAGCATCCCAAGGACCCCAACCAGGTAGTCTACTCCTCCCTACATGGCTCAAGGGACTGACGCCAGGTTTTGTAGATGCGAATTTAGAATTATGAAATCCCACATCTTTTAAACAAGCACCGATTTCCATAATTACAGATCACCTGCAGTTCTGCATTTAAAATTACCTTTTATGCTTACACTGGTCAATTGTTTCATTCTTATAGTTATATCCTATGGTATTTATGACTTAGCATCTGAAGTGTATATGTTGTGATAACGATTGTCGAAGCCATTCGTGTGCACTAGTGTGTGGTAAACTTATTAGTTCAATAATCCATGAATCTGAGGTCAAACATTAGACTCATTTTTATTCAAGTATTGGTTTGTAGGGATTTGGTTGATTGGTTACAGGATTTTATCATGAGCTGACATCAGTTAGAGAACCATTGGAAAGCCTATAGGGACTACTGGACAGCTGTTTCGTCCTAGTTTGGGACTCTTCGGTATTACGCACCCACCGCCAGGGTTCGACCCCAGGACCTTCGGGTCCCAGTGACTTAATGATCTACGAGGTCGCCTTGTAACCAGAACGTACTGGGTTCGAACCCTGGTGGTGGGTGCGTACCGACAAAGAGTCCCAAACTAGGACGAAACAACTGTCCAGTAGTCCCTGCAGGTTTTCCAATGATGTCAGCTCATGATGAAATCCTGTAACCAATTAGATTCATTTCTCTTGAAAAGATAATGGTTAATGAAAATGGTAAAGACTAGTTTTAACTTGTCTAAAAGATATGATGTCTAAATTTGGTCATTATTTGTTGTATAAGCCAACTGACTGTAGACAATATGTTGCTAAGTTCATTCAAAAAGCAGAAGATTATGAGTGAACTAATCTTTGGACACATTTGTTCTAATGCATTTGAATGGACTAGCAACATCTGATTGTATTTGATTGATAACACTACTATTATTTCTGAATGTACTTTATCTTATATTAATTTTATTCAAATGTCTAATCATCAATTTTTACTCATGTATATAGATGAAGCAAAAAAGTTGTGTGAGTGACTTGATAGGACAATGAGCAATAATTTGTGCTCGAATAGTCATCAGTTAATATTACTGTATAACACTGTGTGATTTATCAAAATAAAATCTTATCTATAATGGAGTTATACTCTACCACAGTGCCCAAGTTTTATACTTATAGCAATAGGATAAGTGGTGTTGTTTAAATAAGCACTTTTTTAAACTCAGCTTTGACTTTAGTGTAAAGCCAAAATGCGGTTACCATGGTCACACACAAAAAGTCACAACGAATCAACTTAATGAATGAATGATTATAACAGCCTAATATGGTCGTCTTAATTTAAGATCATGTGATGCGTCTGTGATCAGAAAAGGACTACTAATGTTTATAAAAGTCTAACTCACATCTTATAATAGCATATAGTTATTTTGAGTTTATCACTCCAACATAACTGGAACCTGATCTAATATGTTACACTTCAGTCAGTAAATGATAAGATTGACCTACGTGCACAACATATAGGACAGATCTATGAATAAGAAAAATAAGTCTGGTTTAGAGATAATAAACTACACACAGTTAACCAGTATCACATTAGTATATATATAAATGACTCATTCACCTAATGGAACTTACCATGAAATCAGCTCTGGGCTTATCAGACAGATATCTAAGTCACTGATTCTAAAAACAGATTTATGTATGAACTGGAATTTGGACACAATTATTTTAATGTATTTGATTGGCTTAGCGAAATGTCTTATACTATGAGATTTACTCTATGCTAGTCACATGAGAGAAATACATGTTGATGAAAGGTGGCTTGTATTGTTACTAGAATAACTGTTCTAGTACCATAGTGATACAGGTTCATATTGTACTTTGATCTGGATAATTGAAGCATGGGAATATGCTTACTTCAACGTCCTGTCATATCTAAACAACACATACTATAGATATAGTATTCTGTTGCTAATGCAGTATTCAACTGTGGGAATATGTGAGTGTAATATTCCGTTGGAACACACTGTCTGTATCACACTACCACAGAGCTAATCAAAGAAAGCGTGAAACAACGTAGAAATTGAAAAAGAGAAGATGTTCAGCGAAGAGACTCTTTTTGGTGAATTCATTCACATAGCTGTACAATCGCATTTATAGATAATTATTTTTGTGTGTGTGTGTACATGAGGTTTGTCAAGTTTAGATAATTAATCAGGTAATACAAGAATGATCTAATATAGAAACAAGGTTAATTAGACAGCAACTAAAGTAAGATTGAGTTAGTAAGTTAGATGACATAATATAATTGACTAAAATGTTTCAACCTAGGGCAGGATAGCAACAGAGGTAATTACAGGTAGAGAATAAGTAGAGGTGGGGTAAAGAATAATGCCATTTAAATTAGGACTAAAATTGAGCAGATAAATTGGATGACGTAACATAAATGACTAGAAATTGAGCGTTGGTCAAGTCAGTAACAGTGGTAATGAAGTGTAGAAATTAAATCAGGTGAGGGTAGAGAACAGGAAGTTGAAAATGTAAAATATTACAGTTGTAAAGACAAAACAATACTAATGAAGAGATAGAAAGAAATAGAATTTACCTGTCGGGTATTAAGATAGATTACGTCCATTGCAAGTGTAGTGATTGAACGAACTTCTTCTGTACGCAGAGTTCAGGACTTAGCAAATGAATTGCCATTGCTTCTGCAGTTTGAAGATGTCTGACTCGTACACTTTTAGGAAGACTGCCGCGTATTCTGTAGATGACTTTGAAGTTTGTTTTGGGTGTAGCTTGGTGTCCGGAATCTATCAGATGTTCTAAGATAGAGCTGCGGGGGCATCGTTTTTCTCCTTTGTACAACCATGTTGGTAAGTGTTCGGTGAAACGTTTGGATAGCGAACGCTGGGTACGGCTGACATACCTGGCACCACACGAGCAGGTGAATTGGTAGATACACATTGATGAGGCCAGCAGTGGTAGCTTATCCTTCACGTTCATACGAATCACAGGTTTCGTGGAGAAGGTTAATCGTAGTTCAGCTGCGAAGAAGGTTTTCTTGAGTGAACGGGACAGTCGATTTCTCAGTGTTTCCGCAGATAAATCTCCATTGAATTGAAGGTTCATGTAGAGTAGTTTTCTCGGGACGCTAAGCGTGGGCGGCTTTTGCGGTCTAGGATTCATGGATTTTGCAATAAATCGTTCTGGATAATCATTCTTGACGTAGAAATTCCAAATTCTCTCTGAGGTACACTCGAAAAGCGCTAAAATATCTCAAAAATAATCATGAAATCAATTATATCTCGACTAGATAGACGCTCATGGCTGATGCTTATGGAAAAAGAAGACTATGTAAAGTGCATTATTTCCATTCTGGACGACTCACTAAGGTATAGTGCCGAAAATTGCAAGAAAATTAGGATAACATTACAGAAATAGTCAAAAGAAGGTTGAACACCTCACTATCCAGAACCTGTTCGGAGGTCAAGTTGGTTACTCTGTACAGATACTTAAAATTCTATAGATTATATGTGACTGATGAGAAACTAACGAAATAAAATAATATTATCTTATTTTGCTTCAATTACTGTTTTTGCTTTATTTAAATACAGAAAAGGGAACATGTGAGTAATGTGTACGAAGTTGTGCAGTCAAGTAATATACTACATTGTTGTAAATTCAAACTATAGTAAAAATTTTATATCTGTTTTCTCTCTCTTACAGTCAGACCACTTACACTGGGACTAACCAAAGTTGGCGTTGTTCAACCTGAAAATCCACTTCATTATTTAGGCAAGTGGTTGTGTGAATTCACAGAAGATACTATGAAAGAAAACCAATAAAATTGGTCAAAACAAACAAGTTTTACTGGATTCTTTTAGAATATTAGTAATCTGTAGACTTCATTATTTCCGAATAGGTTTTTGTTTAGTCAATTATCTGTCTGTAATAGTTTATTGTATTGTGATTAGAAATGGCTAAATTCTCACAAGTTCCTTGTTCCCACCGAACAGAAAAAAGTCAGGAATTCGTTATCATCAATTTCCTTTTTTACATTAATTGTGACAAATAAACATAAATACAGATGCATTTTCTAGTTTGTAGAAATTTTTAACTGATTTTTTATATGAATATTTTCACCAGCATCAAATGTTTGAATCTCAAAGTTAGCGGCAAAATTGGGATAGGCAGGGGAATTGTTTAAACCATTACTGGGACTCTCTACTTGATTCATTCTTCATCTATTTCAACAGAATCATATTATTAATATGAAATTTCCAATAATAGATTTCCTATCTCTTCGTTGGGTAATTCCTACAGATAGTCGTAGTCGTATTTGTGTTAACATTTCGCATTTGGTGAAGTGAATGTTATTAAATACGTTCAACGCAAAATAATGTTACTGAGACTGTGATGATATTGTGATAATGTTTATTGTTTTTTTCGCAATCTCATTTGTCTGAGGGGGATATAAGAGCTGTGCATAAACAATACCAACCAACATTTGGAAGCTAATCGTTTTCAGTTAGATGACTGGGAAGTGGTGGTATTCCGCCTGTCTGTCTGTTTTCAACAACATAGAAGTTTGCACCGATGTGCAGCAGTTCAATTCGCCACACTTCACTCAGCACACAAAGCAAGAGAAGAAAATAGAAGAAATGTAAAATAGAGACAGTAAACAGGGATATGAGACAAAAGGAATAGTAATAACGAAGAACAATATAGTTTCATTGGGTATTATAAGTCACAAGGAGTGGATGCATCTGCGCCATTGAGAACGATTTTGAGCCATATCATCGATTGTCTTCAGCCATTGGTTTTTACTGTCCCGAGGACCCCAACCAGGAAGCCAGTCTACATCTACCTACATGGCTGGCTTAAACTAACTGTTGTGGATTTCATTGACTGATGAGGCCATGTTTTGGTTTGACCAACACTGTCTCTTTTCCAGCCTGACCCTATGTCAGCTAACATTGCCAGTCGGTCGAGGCAGCTGATGGCCAGACATGCGTAACACATGTGTTGACCATCTCAATCGATTTAACTTCTCAGCCTCGTCTATTGATTTCCCCTCCCACCTACCTAGCACTCAACCGAAGACTAACCTCAATATTGGTCATTCTATTATACCACTTGACACTGGAGATAGAACGCAGGCACCTATGATCAAAGACAACTAGCCGGCCTTTTCATGTCTTCCACTCTCAATGGCCAGGTCTCACTCACAGGCATAAAGGAGGACGGAGCGGACTGCTGAGCAGTACACATGCCCTTTGGTCGACAGCCAGCCGGATATCACGTCTACTAAGCGAGAGACGGCGTAAGTTGGCATATGCGAAACGAGCCTTCTGTATCCGTGCTGAGATTTTATCAGCAATCAACCCATTGGGGCTGGCTGATGCAACTACCCAAATAAGTGAAATAGTCAACACACTCTACCACTTCACTCCTGTCTATCTTTAAGCTAGGAGTCAATGTAGTCCAGTCCTGTAGCATCATCTTACATTTGGCGGGAGCGAATCGCATGCCAAACATTCGTAGATTGCAGCTGAAGGTGTTCAGAAGACTCTGCTCTGTTTTGTCAGCGTCTTCACCTAGGAGGGAGGACTATATCATCTGCATATTCTAAGTCGACGAGATTTTTCCGTTGTGATAAGTCAATCCCTGAGTCACTGAAGTGAGTTAGGGTTAATTCCATTAGTACATCAATGATATTCCGCCAAAAAATACTTTCTTCATATTTATGTATCAACTTTCCATTAGGACTGTCTGTCTGTAAATATTACTTCTGCTCATTGCAATAAGATGTCTTCAGAATAAGGGTTTACTATAAGTTTAAGAAAAACTCATATTTCACAAGACGCAACGATTTATGGTTCAATATTTTATCGAGATGAGTCAGAACACCTATTTAATTTTCTCATGATATAATCATCTATTTCAGTGGTACATCTCCATTCCATTTGGTTCTCTGTTGTCGCTTTCACCTGACTCCACAACTACACACAAGCCTTCATTTTCTCTTCACAGGATCTTCTGTGTATCACACGAGAACCAAAGCCCAACCCATGGCTTATCACCGGGTTTCTAATCGATGGGCATATTCATCACCTCTGAAGTCACTGCCTCTAACATCAAGTTGTCGGTTTTTGCCTGTAAATCTTCTATGAAATCCAGATTTTCTAGGGTTTTTTTTGTTAGTTCAGCGTATACCAGTCTACTCAACCCCTATAGTCTGCTGTATGATCCAGTTCACCATAATCGGGAAGATCAACGGTGATATAAGACAGCCCTGTCTTACCTCTGTCTCCAATTCAAACGTTTCAGTGAGCTTTCACTAGTGTAATACCTGGCATTTGGCGTCTACTTATAGCTGCTGAATGGGTTTTATGCATTTTTGTAAATATTTGCGGCACTCCAAACCCCTGACACTAGCATTGTGAGCACGCGAATGATTTCACATTCCAGCTTCCAAATATTCAGAATGCCTAAAACAACATATCCGATTGTTGAAGAAATAATGATTCTACCATTCGAATTTAGGAATCCTTCATAATGTAGTTGGTTGATATTTCTGTAGCCGTTTGGTTGATTTTCCGGGTTATAATCATTAAACTCACGCCCAATTCTAACCATTTTTCCGGGCTTGGGACTGCGAAAACTAGCAGGCTAGTAAACTAGGCGAGTTGCATGAAGATAACTCAACGCAAAGATGGACAACAAAGGGAGAAGCTGAATTCAGTGTACATTGTCGCACTGAATAAAGAAGTGACGAAGAGTGCCAGGAAAGACAAATGACAATTCCACGACACACTGGCCGGCAACTGACGCAGAACAGGCAGTCCGCAGGTAAAACAGACCTCAGAACATCACATCAGATAACCAGGACTCTATCCGGGAAGAGATCACCCCAGATGCTGAAACCAAGAAAAAATGTTCAAGGGAACCTAATTACCAAAGAGAAGAGGCAAATAAAACAGTGTGTTGACCACTTCAATTGAGTCGACCATCACCTGCAACTCGTCCAGAAATAGCACTACCACCAACAGCACGCATAGTGGACACCGATCCTCCAACAAAGGTGGAAATCTTCTGTGCGATCAAGCTACTGAAAGCCATCTTGGAGGGCAGCAGGACCAAACGGAATTTTCCCTGAAGAACTGAAAACGGACCCAGAGACTGCTGCGTATATGCTCAAGCCACCTATGCAAAACGTTTGGAAGGAAAGAAGGGTAGCTTGTGAAAATACTAAACTAGAGAAGGAATCACACTCTTGTCCGTGTAAAGTAAAATACTAAGTCGTGTCATCCTGCAGAGAATAAAAGATGCACCGGATACAGAACTCCAAAAGCCCAGAACAAGCTGGAATCAAGAAAAGCAAATCATGTGCTGATCAAGTCACAACTCCACGCATCATCACTGAACAGAGCATAGAATGGCAGTCACACCTCTGCCTCAATTTCATCAACTTTGATGACGTCTTTGACAGCATTGACAAGGAAGTAATTTGTCAACTGCTTCAACACTGTGGAGTGTACCAAATATTTATCAACCTTATTCAACAGCTATATGACGATGCCGTGCCCAGTGATCCACAATGGAAAACTCAGTGATGCGTTTGAAGTGTATACAGAGGTAAGATAATACTGCCTGCTATCACCAATCGTGTTCCTAATTGTAGTGAACTGGATTGTGTGGGAGACTGTATATGGTGGCCAGAAGACAGAAATATGTTGGACCAGAGAAGACTGTAGGAGATTTGAATCTCGTGGGTGATTTATTTTAACTATCACAAAAGCTCGAAGACTTACAGTAGAAAACCAACAAGTTGGGAGAAGAAACAGGCAGCGAAGACAGAACTTCAAGTGAACATAGAGAAGATGAAGATGATGAAAATAATCAGCCAACAATAAGCACCAGTAAGTATCAAAGGGAGAAATTTGAAAGAGATTGCCTCCTTCACTTATCTAGGAAGCATCGTTTCAACCACTGGCGGAACAGATGAAGATGTCAAAGCCAGTCAGAATCGGAAGGGCAAGGTACACCTTCAACACTCTGAAATCAGTTTGGAAATTTTCTGCACTCACCATAAACAGTAAAATTCCGATTTTCAACACCAATGTTAAGTGTTTCAGTGCTTCTATATGGTTCAGAAACTTGCACTGAACGTCATGAAAATCATGTCAACAGCTGCCTCCATATTGAAGATAAAATGGCAGGCCGGTCAAAAAGAATTAGTATCAAGAAACTATGGAAACAAAGCAACCAAGAATCTATTACTAGAAAATATGCAGAAGAAAATGGAGATGGAATGGGCGCACACTGAGGAGACCGTCAAATGAAATCACGCGCCAGCTCATCGCTTGAGTGGAACCCGAATGGGTAAGAATGAGTTGTGCGTTGTTCAAAGGGTGACGTGGAGGTAGTATTGCGAGGAAGAGATAAGAGACTATGGGCAATCGTGGACTCAGCTAATAACGTACGCGGGAAATAGGACAAAGTGGCGACGTACTGCTGAAGTCCTATGTTCCACTCGAAACCCATTAAAACAATAATAATGTAGTGATATTTATTATACGGTTTTTTGTATTGATATGACATTTGTCGTGATTATGCAACACTTCGGAGATTTTGGTAAAAGTTGTATTATGTCAATAACTAGTGTCTGCACCAAAAAAAAAATCATTTTCAGTCCCAACAAAAAATGAACAACACCTTTCTGACTGCATCCAAAGTGTTCACTAAATGAGGTGGGTCATTTTGAACTTCTGAAGGAGAAATGATTCTGTTTTATTTGGTAGATAAGATAAAGGATGCAGGCATCTCGACTTCTGTAGGCGGT